ATCATAGTTCATGGCCTGTTCTATTAATCATCTACAATTTGTCTCCTTCAATTTGTATGAAACAAAAATATATTATGTTATCCATGATGATTTCGGGCCCAAGGCAGCCAGGAAATGATATAGATGTTTATCTAAGTCCTTTGATTGAGGATTTGAGAATGCTCTGGGAGGAAGGTGTTGATGTGTTTGATGGCTATTCCCACGAGAATTTCAAGATGCGTGCAATGTTATTTTGCACTATCAATGATTTTCCCGCATATGGGAACTTGTGCGGTTATAGTGTTAAAGGACATAAGGCGTGTCCTATATGTGAAGATAACACATGCTTCAAACAATTAAAACATGGAAAGAAGATAGTGTACCTTGGGCATAAGAGATTTCTTAAACCTAATCACCTATATCGTAGGTTGAGAAAAGCGTTTAATGGAGACCAGGAGAATGGAATTGCTCCAAGAGCATTAACTGGAAAGGAGGTTTATGGACGGGTGAAGGATGTCAATGTTCTATTTGGAAAGAACCAAAAAAAAAACCACTTATACAAATATAAGGAAGAAGAGGTCGGTGTTCTTTGATCTACCTTACTGGTGCAATTTAGATGTTAGACATTGTATTGATGTGATGCATGTGGAGAAAAATGTGTGTGATAGTGTAATCGGAACACTTCTCAACATTCATGGAAAAACAAAGGATAATGCAAATGCTCATTTAGATATGGTTGATATGGGTATACGACAACAATTAGCTCCACAATCAGCTAGTAAGCGGACATATTTGCCTCCAGCTTGTCATACTTTGTCAAAAAATGAGAAGATAAGCTTTTGTGAGTGTCTACGTAGCATAAAAGTGCCTCATGGTTACTCTTCAAATATAAAGATTCTTGCCTCAATGAAAGATTTGAAATTGGTTGGCCTAAAGTCTCATGATTGTCACGTATTGATGCAACAACTACTACCAGTTGCTAGTCGTGGCATATTGCCTAAAAAGGTTAGAGTTGTCTTAACTAGGCTTTGCTTATTCTTCAATGCTATTTGTAGCAAAGTCATTGATCCTAAAAAATTAGATGAGTTAGAAAATGAAGCAGCTGTTATCTTATGCCAACTAGAGATGTATTTCCCCCCTTCTTTTTTTGATATCATGGTGCACCTGATTATTCATCTAGTGAGGAAGATTAGATTGTGTGGTCCTGTTTATTTGAGGTGGATGTATCCAGTTGAGCGATACAAGAAGATCTTAAAAGGGTATGTGAAGAATCAATATCATTCTGAAGCATCTATTGTTGAGAGGTACATTGCAGAAGAAGCTATTGAGTTTTGCTCCGAATACATGTCTGAAGCAGATGCTATAGGAATTCCTAAGTCTCGTCATGGTGGAAGATGTGGAGGTATTTGAGGTTTAAAACTTAAGAGCATAGCCCGAGCGGAAGTACTTCGAGCACAAATGTATATATTGAATAATACTGATGAAGTTTAACCTTACATTTCTACTCACAAAAACATTGTCAAGGAAACATTTCCTCGAATGAATGAAAAATGGGTGTTGAATGAGCATAACAAGAATTTTTTAAAGTGGTTTAAAAAAACCATTTTAGCAGATAATACATGTCGTGAGACATTGAAATGTCTAGCAAGGGCGCCTAAATTTGATGCATAACATGGACTGGCTATGATATAAATAATTTTACATTTTATACAAAGACCCAAGATGACACTAGTAGTGTGCAAAATAGTGGGGTTATGGTTGTAGCTGAGTCCATGCACTTCTCTAGTTCAAAAGATAAAAATCCTGTTATGGCATCAATAGCTTACTATGGGGTCATAGAAGATATTTGGGATATCAATTTCACTACATTTAAAGTACCTCTATTTAAATGTAAATGGGTTGACACAAAAAATAGTGTTAAGACTGATGAATTTGGTTTTACATTGGTGGACCTTGAAAAGATAGCCTATATGGATGAACCTTTTATTATGGCATCTCAAGCAAAACAAGTGTTTTATGTTAGAGACCATTCTAACAAAAAATGGTCAGTGGTTCTCCAAGGTAAAAGCAACCACAACCCTAATGATAGTGAGCGTGCAATGCTAGATATTTATGAGACTCCTTCTTTTTCTCAACGGGTGCCAACGTTAGTTGAAGATACTATTGGTGACGAGGTGTATGCCACTCGTGAAGATCATCAAGAAGGGATATGGGAAAATATTCAAACAATACACAATTTGTTAAGAAATGGTGAATTTTTATCTAAATATGTAGATTTTATGTATTTTTTTAATGTCTCATGTACAATATATTTGTCATATAATTTCATATTATTGAGCTTGAATTATTATGTTTTTTTTTCTCTAAACAGACACATGGGTGATGCATCAGCTCCTTCGCAAAGTGGGTTGAATACTCTATCAACCAAAACAAAAGGAAGAGGTTCACCAGGATGAAAAAGTTGCAACTTTTGACTGCACGGGATGAGAGAATACCAATTGATTTCAATTCAGATGGACATCCTATAGGGGAACTTGCAAAAGATTTCATGTATCATGTTGCTTGTCTCGCTCGAGAGAAAATCAGTATTCTGATTGATGAATGGGATAAGGTTGGTAGTGAAAACAGGAAAGAAATTTGGAAAGGACTTGAGGTAATTTTAATTGCATTTGTCACAATTATACATAACTTTAATATTTTGATATGTACTAACTCTTTTATTTGTTGTGTAACATAGCAAATATGGGACATTTCTAAAAATGATGTTGTTGATAAGAAAATGATGGTATATGCGGGTGAGCGTTGGAGGTCCTTTAAAAACAGCTTAACAAGTAGATATTTAAATAATGGAATTAAGAGTGGAGTGTCTCCCACTGATGATTACCCTTATATTGATGAAGAAACGTGGAAGGATTTTGTTAAATCGCGAGAGGACCCTTCCTTTCAGGTTAGTTGGCATTATTATTTAGTTAATGAATCAACTTATTTTTAGTACAACTTAATGAATCAACGTGCAATATAATAGGAGAAAAGAAAGAAGGGACAAGAGACTCAGTCTTATAATAAATATCCCCATAGGTTGTCCCAAGGGGGATATGCTTTGCTTGAGAAAAATATGATGGCAGATAAGTTAAAAGAAAGACAAGCAGCAGCTGGAAGTTCAGAGGTTCCACCTCCATCTCCACCATAACGACATGAGAGGTGGAAGAGAGCCCGACTAAAACCATCAGGAGAGTATACATCAGAAGACACACGTCTTGTTGCAGAAAAAATTGTAAGTAGTGTTACATATGCATATTTACTTTTACAACTCTGCCATGGTGACAAAACATCATTTTTTTACGGTTACAACTCTGTCGATCCAGTTTCCTTATTGTATCGACATCGGTGATCTATTAACGTTCTTTATGCTATCTTGTTTATGCTATCATGTGATTTGTGTTGTCAAGATGCTGTCTTGTTTTTGGTCTAAAATTGAAGGTTAAATTGAAGATTAAAGATGCTGTCAAGATGAACAGCATAACAGTGGAACAAAAATCATTAGTCTCAATTTTTCTTTCTGTTCTGTTCTGATAACAGTGGAACAAAAATTGTTTTTGGATGCTATCCTGTATTGTGACAGTATTGGGTGTACCTTATTCAGATTAATCTCAACCTACTTGAACTTAAGAATGAACTAATGATATTTCTGTTCTGTTATATTTTTTGAACTCTCTATTTGCTAACTTGATGATAAACAATACACAATTTGTAGGATAAAGCAATTAATTCCTTTTGATTTCTGTTCTGATAAAGCAATTAATGCCTTTTTCTTTTTCTTTTGATTTCTGTTCTGTTATATTTTTTGAACTCTCTTTTTAACTCTCTATTTGCTAACTTGAATTGATGATATTTGTAGGATACTCTGGTGTCGGAAGGGAACTTTATCCCACAAGGATGACAAGATATTCTGACAGAAGCCACAGGGCGAGGTGAGCACCCCGATCGTGTTCGTGCTGTTGGTCGAGGTGTGAGGATTCGACAATTCTTTGGATCCCATTCTCGTAAACATTTTAGTACCCCGCCTATTTTGAATAACGACCAAATAGAGACCATAAAGGCCGAGCTTACGAAGGAGATTAGAGAGCAAGTGATGCGGGATATATCATCTTTGCCAGCTTTTTCTCAAAAATACCCAAATGACCCTGTTTGTTCTCCTAATACCAATTTACAATATGCAAGCACAAAGGGTAGTTGTTCAAGGGTGTCACATATGCCAAATGATGATCAAGAGGATATTCCTGAAGAATGTGAATTGTATGTTGATGGAAACACTCATTTAGTGGCATATGCTAATGTGTATAAGTTGGGGCCTAATATACACAATCAGGTGCTGAGTAATGATATGGTGAGAGTGGTTGTTACCAAGGTGATAAATGAAAATGCTAAAGTACCAGTGCCCACAGATGAGGTTACAACGGTTGGTGAGGCCTCCAATACTTTCATTCAATGGCCAAAAAGACTTTTGCAACTTACTTCTAATAAGGTATTCATTATATTTATTATTTTCGTTTTACACAATTGAGACCTTTTTAATATGTTGTCTAATATTTTATTATATTTCACAGGTTCGGTCTAAGAAATATGATGTTCCACCAAAAAGGTCAGAACCTATCTGTCAAAAGTTGGTAGTAAAGGCAATGTATATGGATCAAACTTTGAAGTTTAACGGTGAATTCGGTTGGACATATGCCTCTATTGAGCTCCTAAGGGAAGATATTGTAGACTTGTGCATGGGTACAAAAGAATTAGGCATCACTATCTTACAAGTGTGGCTCATGTAAGTATATTTTATTTGTAAATTTAATAATTTATCATTTACTTAATTTCATTTATAATGCAAATAACTTTCAATATGTTATATATATCTACACCGCCTCTGTATGGAATTGGGCAACAATAATGTTTATGGATTTATTGATCCGGGTTTCACTCATAGTCAAAATGAGCGTGGTAGTGTTTAGTCCTACATACAAAAGAAGATGTGTGATGATACAAAAGAATGTTACCTTACTCCTTATTTTAACAAGTAAGAATTTTCTCTTGTTATAGGCAAAACGACTGTATGTCAATCACTTATAGTCAATCACTTATTGTATTTTGTTCTTGTAGTCATCATTGGCAGTTGTTCATCATTAATCCTAAGAAGTTTGAAGTAGCCTTTCTATGTTCTTTGGGAAAGAAGCCAGATAAAAAAATTTATGACGTTATTGAATTGTAAGTCTATACTACACTTGTCAATTGATTCAACTTGTAAGTAAATAGTATAAAAGTGAAGTAGTAATATTATTATAGTATGATTTTTAGTTTCTTGTTTCTGTTGCAAATTTATCAAATGATTTATGGTTCTAAAACAAATGTAAGTATCTTATTTATTTTGTTAATTATAAATAATTGCAGAGCTTTGGGAGCTTATAATAAGTTACAACGTGTGAGAAAGCAGAAGAAGGTAGAATGGTTTTATCCCACTGTAAGTAATTGTTTACTTTACATATAAATGAATAATTCCATATATATATATATATATATATATATATATATATATATATATATATATATATATATATATATATATATATATATATATATATATATATATATATATATATATATATATATATATATATATATATATATATATATATATATATATATATATATATATATATATATATATATATATATATATATATATATATATATATATATATATATATATATATATATATATATATATATATATATATATATATATATATATATATATATATATATATATATATATATATATATATATATATATATATATATATATTCTATAACAATTTTTGAGTAATATCTATTGACTAGACGTTCACATTTGATAATAAATTTTAGAGTCAAAAGCAACAAGTTAGTTATGATTGCGGCTATTACATCATGGCTCACATGTTGAACATTATATCTGCTACTGTTGTTGGTTCATGGACACATGTAAGTAATATAATATTTTTATCAAGTTGTATCAATTAATTAAAAAAAATTATGTTGATATATTAATTTAATTTTATGTCAATGTTTATTTATTTAGATATTTCAGGATTCAAATCCATTACAAAAAGAAGAAGTTAAAAATGTTCAAGAACTTTGTGCAAACATGATATTGGAACATATTGAAGAAAGTACAGACAATGATATAAATTAGGTTCAATTCTGTGCTGAATTTTGGTTGTTGGCTGTTCAGAAGATGATATGATTTTTTAAGGCCAATATTTAAGGTTTCTTATTTTGATTATGTTTTGATAAGTACGTACTTGGTGCTTTAGAATTAACATGCACCTGTTTGTTTGTGTATTAGTATTATTAATATACGTAATTGTGTTTATAGTTGTTGGTATATTTTATTTGATAATTAGGAGTTTTACTGTGATCTGTGTTGTGTGTTTTTTTTGTGTAATTTTTTGATTGAGTTGGATAGTCTGATTTGGGGGTAAATTATTAAATGGAAAAACTGCATTTGATTTGTGTGATTATCCACAAAAAAATAAACTTCTTATGTCGGTTAAGTTATACCCGATTTAAGAAAGTAAGTTCTTAGGTCGGGTATAAATGGTTTCTGCAGGCTAGACTTATTAAGTCGGGTACTGCCTAACCGACCTAATAACAGTTTGTTAAGTCAGGTCCACAACCGACTTAAGAAGTCAAAACATCTTATGTCAGCAGTTCTTAGGTCGGGCTCGGACCCGACTTAAAAAGTCAATTTTAACCGACTTAAAAAGCCTTTTTTCCACTAGTGATTATCTCTTTCTTTGGAGCACCTTTGCTCTTAACGGACATTGGATTACCTATAGATTACTTTTTGGTCCTAATAGGAGCGTCATATTTACAATGCTTTTTTCTGTAGATTCATTACATCCCCATAAGCACCAAAACGAATGAGTTCAATATATTTAAATCTACTTCCCCATTAGAATCCATGTACAAAAACTCAATTTTGGCATCCTTTGTCCAATGCGACAAAATCATACTAGTAGGAGTGTGATTGATATTCTTTTCCTTGGCATATACAACTTCACTTTCAAAACCATACTTACAATATTTTGTCACTGTAAAAAATTTTGTTTCCTCTTCTGATAATCATTCCTTTACAAATAAGCACCATCTTTCATAATTTCTTCTTTTACTACTTTAAAAATCTTTGTTGTATAAGTTTTAGCAATATCCCTCTTAATCACATGCAGATGAGTTGTCAACTTAGGATCTAAAAACTTTGATTTAAAATCATCAACAAGTTCATTATTTCTACACTCTTTCAAAAATTGTTCAAAATGATGCATAAATTCAAAAAAGCACCCTTTATTCCTTACATAAGTCTTAATTATTGAATTGACAGCTTCAGATTGAGAAGTAGTTCTTATACGACCAAAAAATTTGTCGCATAGATATGAAATTTCCTAAAGTAACTTGTTTTCATATCTTTTGCCACCCAAGCATTTGCTTCGACTTCATTCTCATTAACTATCTCTAACCAAAATTATTTAAATTGAATAAGTGTAAAATTTAAGTTCATTTCTTGTTTAAAAGCATCCAAAAATGACGACTTCTTTACACTTTCCATTGTATTCATGTTCAAATACCAAGCACACAATCGGTAGATCGCATCAGGAAAATTTTGTTTTATAGTCTCCTTCATAGACCTATCTCCATAGGTTACTATTGCCTTTGGATATTTATTTTTCATGCACTATAAGAAACACCTCAACAACCACTTATATGTCTCAGTTGTTTCATCTGACACTAATGCTTCAATGAAAATAAGAGTCTTTGAGTGGTGGTTGCACTCAAAAAACATAACCAATAGATAATTTTATTTTTTTTCTTTTTGTAAGTTGTGTCAAACATAACAAAATCTCCAAAACAAAATAGTTCGATCTACCAATGCTATTTACCAAAACATGTGATTTCAATCTTCTATCACTATTGGAAGAATATTCTTCATATGACATAGGATCCACAGATGATTTCACATTGAGTAAATTTAAAGTAGCATCAACATCACAATCTTTAATAACAACACACATTTGTTTAATCAAAATAATTGTACAAGTCTTTCTTTGTAATAAAACATCATTTTATCCACCATTTTGAGAAACCATGTATCCCATTATATGACACGTTCTGATTCTAAGTGGAGGAAGACGGACAATTTGAGCTCTACCTGCTTCAAAAATTTGACGATAAATGGGGTGTAAATTCACAACCTTTGATCGGGTTAATTAATAGTTTTAAGTCTCTTCACAAATTGACACTACATATTTTCCCTCTTTTCCTTTGTAGTGCATATAGAGCCTAACTGCGCATCTAGTACATGCCAGACGTTGGATCAATACTGCCTCATCAATATTATTTCACTGCCTTTGGGCTCTTTTCTCCTAACATCATTTTTCCTAATGAAAAATCCTTTACATTTTCCAAACCTATAATAAAATTCAAAAGTGTCACTCATAGTTCCAAATTCCATAACACAAATCTCATTTGAAGTAATGTAATTAATACTTATCAATCTCTGATCTATAGCCGCTTGGCTATTTGGCTACTCTGCTATAATCTATTCCACATCATCGACATTATTAGCATCATGTTCATCATCTGTACTTTGATGTCCACTAGATACAACATCATTAACATCTTCATCACCATTATATTCAGCATTAAATGAATTTGTGTAATGAACATTGTTCAACTCAACACCAAGAGAATCATCATAGTTGTCCATCTGGAATCAACCAATATATACCATAACATAAGACAAATTTAATCATAAAACCCAGTTCCCAAATTGAAATGAAATACTAACCAAAATATTGAATAACTAACAAATTCAAATTCAAAATACCTAAACTTTAGATCCAAATACAGATAATGATATCAATTATAAAACCTAATTCCCCAATTGAAATAAAATTTATCTAACGTAATGAACAAGTAACATATTGAAAATCAGAATCCTTAAATTTGAAATCCAAATATAGATATTGACATCAATCATAAAACCTAATTCCCAAATTGAAATCATTAAATTTTAAACCTAAATACCTTGGCAAATTTGCTATCAATACGAACACTAATAGACTGTGCGAGGAGCGACTGTATAGGAGAAAATATGAACACCTGCAAAGTGTTTCAGGAGCGGTTGTGTAGGAGAATATTAAAGTATCAATGGTTGTACAATGTTGGGAAGAAAATTCATTTTACAATGGCGAAAGAAGAAGATGGTACGTGTTTTCGTTATAAACACTTTGGAAGAAGATTGTTTTTGTGGTCATTTTACAATTGCGGAAGAAGAAGTTGAATGTGGGTAGTTCTATAGGTTAGGGGAAAGAAGATGAAGTTGTTGTTGAAAATATCATAACAACATTTATATTTTCTTTATGAATATTGATTTTCAAAATATAAAGTTTAAAGTTTAAAAACAATATATTGAATGGGCTAAATCATGATGATACACAGTAATTGATATGCATCGTATAATCATACGTGACCTTTTTGGGTTTAGGGGACTTTGCTAATTGGGAAGAATTATGACTATAAAAAGAAATTCATTTTAGTGTTTACTAATTGGGTTCCCTAAATAGCATAGAGTCTCGTATGCATGGCATCCGAGCATTTTTTCTACCATTCTAGCGTTTACTTGTTTTATTCACTTTGGGTGTTTATTCCTCAAGTGGTTGGGTTTGTCGTCTCTCTCCAAGTAGATTCGTCAGCTTTAAGCATAAAGGGCACGCCATTTCTAAATACTCCATAGAGTTTGATCCTCATGGACGATGTTTTCTTCCGTTATCTTCTCCATGTTTGGATAAGATAAACCTTCATTCGAGTTCATTCCTCAATAGTTGGAGTCTTTTTGACCGTTTCTTTCTAGCTTTGTTACTAGGTTGAACTCTGGTCCCTGGAAAATGTTGCTTTTGAATTTGATTAGGTCGTCGAACCTAGTTTGAACGTGCATTTATTTTGCACTGTGTCTCACAGGAAGAATCTTTTACAAATCCCCATTGTGGATAAGTGACAGTCTCTCCTTTGAGAAGTTTATCCATTTTGATATTTCAATGATAAGTGGAAATCTCTTTTTAGAAGCTTACCCTTTTTCCCAACAAGTGGAAATCTCTCTTGAGAAGCTTGTTTCCTTTTATCTTTTGTAAGACAAGTGGCAATCTCTCTTGAGAATCTTGTTTCTTTTTACCTTTTTTCGATAAGTGGCAATCTCTTTCGATAAGCTTATCCATTTTTGTCAACATGTGGCAGTCTCCCATGAGAAGCTTGTTTCCTTTTACCTTTTTTTCGATAAGTGGCAATCTCTTCCGAGAAGTTTATCCATTTTTGTAAAAAAGTGGAAGTCTCCCTTGAGAAGCTTGTTTCCTTTTACTTTATTTTCAACAAGTGGCAGTCTCTTTGAGGAGCTTATTTTTATATTATGATAAGTGGCAATCTCATTTGAGAAGCTTATCCATTTTTGTCAACATGTGGCAGTCTCTTTGATAAGCTTGTTTCGCTATTATGATAAGTGGCAATCTCTTTTAAGAAGCTTATCCCTCTTTTCCAAAAAGTGGCAGTCTCTTTTGAGAAGCTTGTTTCCTTTTACCTTTTTTTCCAACAAGTTATAGTCTCATTGAGAAGCTTATTTTGCTATCATGATAAGTGGCAATCTCTTTCAAGAAGCTTATCCTTTTTCAATGATAAGTGGAAGTCTCTTTCGAGAAGCTTATCCATTCTTGGTGGTGCGTAAGTCCTTTTACAATGATAAGTGGCAGCCTCTTTTGAGAAGCTTATCGAAAGGTCGTTTCCCCGTGAAGTCCAATTATTTTAACATACAAAAGAGTTTAATTACCCTATATCTTTCCTGATGTTTCCTAAAGATCCCGTTTGATCTCTTCACTTAAGGAATTTCTAGAAGCTTGGATGTTCTTTCTTGTTTGAAAACTCCAACATTTTCTTGCATGATCCTATTGGTATAAGGATCCTGCTTTCCCTTTTGTCCTAGAGTGTCAACCGGTCATGCCTAAACCTCTTGATCAATAACTTTAGATTTCCCTAATTACTTCTGTTCCTCGGTGTTTGGTCATCTCTTTAGTGAGTTCATTACTCATTGTGTTGACTTTTATCTCTATTTTACTTTTGTTCTTGAATGCATCTTGCGTGCACCATCCA